TCAATTATTACAAAAATGGATAATTATAGATCGCGATTATGAATTCATGTATTATCTAATTCAAATACATCTCAAACCTAATCCCGATCTAACTTAAATCTAACTAAAACTTTTAGAAAAAATATATACTGTTAAATAAATAGACCAAAAAATATTTTATCAGAAAATATACTTTACATAAAGTTAGTAGTTAACTATAATTATCGAAAAGTAATTACAATAGAAAACAACGTAAAAATATAAAACAAATTAACAGCTAATTTCATTTTCGAATAGAGTATAAATACTTGATGTTTCATGTAATCTGATCGCCATATATTACTTCCACAAATCGCAGTATAACTATAATATTTTTATTCATAAAATATTTTCATGTTCATTAAATTTTCGAAGAAAATCCTTTTGAAAATGGAGTATTATATATTGAAATGCGAATTATACGTTTTCTAGTTATTTTTAAATGCAGAACCACCACCCTTCTGCTTGTACCATCGGTTTCAACAATGTAGTGATTACCACGATATTTAGGAAATGACGGAAGCTCGTCAGGACCATCGAACTGTCCAATTCAATTTAAATGGGATGTATCGGAGTTCATCAAGCCTTCGCATTAGAAGAGTGCGCCAACGAGGTATGCATAATGCGTTAATCAGATTCACAGAACGGTGGTCATTTTCCGTGTTTAAGAGATCGTTCGGTGCCGCTGAATGAGAAACTTGTGGAAATCAACGTGGCGCTTCAGCGAGCATCGTAACTTCGAGTATTCACATTGTTTCGCGTGTGCTGTCGTAATTTTCTTTTTCCACCTATGAATAAATCCGACGGATAACAAGAACATTCAACGGTTACGAGCCTGCAAACGTTTCCTTCCCAATCAACCGAATTGTTGCTACTGAAAACACCATCAGCCTGCCATCTTCCACGGGCAGTGAATAAAATGATAACGAACTAGAGGATTCTCAACTTTGATATGAAATGCTCCCTAAGAAGTACATTTGTTTACATCCTTCTACATAATTTATTACTATTTTTTCAGATTATTTACAAAAATATCCTTTATTACTTAATATTAAAAAATTAGTGAAAATGATTGAGAAAAATAATACTCCTATGAATTATGCAGAAAATTATTGTATGCTACAATATTATAAAACAAATAAATGCATGTTTAAAAGTAAATATTCGTTGTTTTGAACATTTAATAAAATTAATTTTAAGGGAATACTCTAATCGGAAGAGAAGAAGCTACAGCGACTTTCAAATTATGATTAAGTTAAAAAATTAGAAATTCAACATTTTAACTGCAACTTTAGTTATATTTCACAAGTACAGAGTAAAATTTTTATAGAATTTTTGTTCGCGTTAATAAAGTTATTCAATGTAAAGTGTAATGTTCCATTTTGTATGACTGTTAAAATTTGCTTTGTTATATTCATCTGTAACATACAGATGAATATAGTAATGACATACACAAAAGTTCAATTAAACGAGATTCGTACCTTTTACTACAAAATATTCCAGAACATCTATATTTTTCATCGGTAGAAATGAGATTCTCCTCTCGAACAGAAAGCAGCCCTAATTGTTTAGAGTTGAAGGAGGTACATCCCTCATCATACGCGTTTTCGGCGCTAATGTGCCATTCATTAATACAACCATATGGTAATCAATCGATACCGTGAACAAAACACAATGGAAGACTTTTCTTGCTACTATGCCGTTCCGAGTGCCAGTTTTCCATAATTTTTTTAAGTTTCATTTTATGTATACAAGACTAAATTTAAAATCAGTAGCAAAAAGTAGAACGTTAACACTAGAACTACTGCGCCCGTACAAAATGTTTCAGTTTTCTTATTCAGCAATTATTGATATGTTGAAAGTGTTAAATATCCAAAAGAATTTAAAAAATAAATAGTTTCACTTGAACATTACATTGAATATATAAGGAAACCGAAAAAAATCTATTGTTACAATCTAGATAAGGATTATATTTAATCGTATTAAATGCTTAGTAATTCTAGTGTCAGTAGCAGAATAATAAGAATTTTTTAAATATTCTATGGAGGATTGGTAGAAGGTAAAAAAATATGCCAGAATAAACTCTATGAATAAACACAGTGCGTCTGTACAAATAAAACGAAATGGAACAATAAGAATTATGGGGAAAGGCCAAACAAAATTGTCCGTGTAACATTGACAGGAAATGTAACCAGTCAGATTGCAGTACGGTTATTATGAACTTTCGGAATCAATTTTCGTGAAAAATAATTTCTTCCTTGTTCGCGCCACGAATCACGTCTCGTATAGCACATTTTACGTAGCTCAGTTTGACATCGTCCGTTACTCTTGTTATTAAAACGTGTGACGGGACGTGATTGGATTTACTTCGCGAAGAATGTCACGTAATTCGGTAATAGTGGAGGTCGGAACCGAGCAGTTTTCCCCGTGGGTCTCGAATTCGCGAAAATCTCAATAACAGATCGACGACATGGGACGTCTCACGTTCGACGCGTCTAGGCGCCGTCCGTACCAAAGATTCTCAAGTCTTTCCTTCTTTCTCTGTCTCGGTGCTCGTTCAATTTGAGTTTCAGCCACCTCTTTTTCTCACTTTTCTCACTGCAATATCTGCTTCTACTGTGTTCTCCTTTTTTTCATCCACCTTCATCCCTCCGATTCGTTTCCTGACAGTTTTATGCACGACGATGTCGCTCCTGTTTCGACATTCTTACACTTTATAAAAGCCCGAGCGTCCGTCCGCATCCTGGCTTTCAGAAAGGAATTCTAGTTCGTTGTTCGTTAACGCGTCGAGCGCCGTCTTAAATTCACTTTATTTTCCATTCGTGTGGCGTCCACCGTCGATGGTCTGCTCTACTGCATTTTATAATTGTCCTTTATAGGATGCGACTTGCAGTACTTGTGACTATAAAATTAATTATCGGCGAGAAGAAGACTCTGTGTGCGTAATATGAGATGTATAATACCTCGAACATTTTCGTTCAAAGAATATACAAATTAACGTATGACTTAAGGGTTAAACATTATAAATTTTATGGGTTTAATTAAGAAAACAATGTATAACCATAGGTCGTATAACGCATTACTAAAATGTTACGACAAAAATATGGAATATGAGGGAAATTGTAGCTGACAGAATTACCGGCGTCATAATGGAGGGCAAAGTGTTATAATTGACATTGACATTTTAAGATGGAAAATTATTTACGTTTATATAAACAGAGTGAACGGGAATATTGTTATTCTATATGTCCGTTATACCGCAGTAACCATGAATTTTCTACTATTCCCTTCGTATTTCATATTTTTGTCATATCGTTTTAACAAAGCTCTAATTTGTCCGTTAAATCTTGAGATATCCTGTACAGTTCGGGAAACGTAATATGCTTCTTCTTATAGTAAAGTAAAACTGACATAAAGACAAGAATAAAATAATGTAAACTCCTAATAAAATTCTTCCATTAACACATTCATGTACGTGAATGTTATAGTATTATCATACATTTAATTGTATATAGCCTTAATGTTTTGAAACCGCTATGCACTTTAACTCTTGTAGTACTGCAGCTCAGTACTAAGTGTTTTTGCAGCTCATTAAAATTTTTACTGTCCACGAACGTTTTAACATTATTCTTTATTTATTAAGTTTTTCAGAGCCGCTTAGTAAACAAACAGTTACAGATGTTCGCACAACTGCAGTAAATCCTCGAATGTCTGATTCAATTGGGCGTCTAGTGATCTAAATAAGTAGAAAATTAGGAACACATTTTTTTCAAGTATATTTATAACACACGATTGTACATATTCCGAGGTACTGTTTAATAATACGAATTAAGTTCCAATTTAATCAAGATTCTGGACACTGTAGATCACGAAAAATATCAAGTCGGTTAATCGAGGTCCTGCTGTACAAATTGCAATGAATTACTTTACAGAAAGTAAAATCAATCAGAATTTTCTCTAGATTCGTAAAGGTTTCCATCAAGTTTTTGAAAGAATTGTCTTTAAAAGAATTTTAAACGTAATATTATGAATGCAGAAAATTTGTAGCCTTAAAATTAAGTATCGTGCAGTAGTAATCATGTTTCTATGCAGTATTTATTATTTCATATTGTTTTATATTTAAAAAAATTAATTTAAAAATACATTTATTTAAATAACAATATATGTATATGTGTATTTATATATTTTTTTTCAATATTTAAGTTAAAGCGTCTGGTATAGGAACATAATTAACAAGAAATTTATACACTATAAAAATCGAGAAAATTAAACCTCAATCTGCTGTGAACTTAATTGTAAATACTTATGTGTATGCATAACAAAAAAAAACAAAAAGTATTAATTCCAGTGAGGATGTTCGAGTCTCCACTTTGCAATGTGGATGATTAAATAAAGTGTTGCTGAGTGATTGTACTATGAGCAACGTTTTATACGATTAACTGACTAATAACACCCGAACCATGGGCCATTAAGCGACAAACTATATAGCCATATTTCATATAGTATGAAATTACATTTTTTTACTTAAAACGGCTAATCATTCTTATTTTTGTCAATCATTATTTTCAATTAATATCATCTTTTCGCAGATTTAGTTACATTATTATTTAGTGTTTATAAAAGCGATTATTTTCAAATTCTTTTGATCCTCACCTCTGTTCTGTGATACGACATGGTAACCTACAAATTTTTCTTTAGTGCACCGTACTGATTTGGTAAATTAATTATTTTTTCAGGGAGTATATCGACGTATTTATAGAATGGCATTAAATCTGTGAAATTGTTTTGCTTGTAGAAACTGGAATAACCGTAAAAAATACATGGTAATTATATTTTCTATTAAGCAAACTGCCGTGGCAACGTGATTTAATGAATCTAATTAAAGTATAATACGTGATAAAGATCAATATGAAAGGGTACATGAATGTTTACTTTAAGGTGCCTTTTTAACCCTCGCATGGCCAATCGAAAACAGTGACGCAGCAAACCAATATCGGGTCGGGCTCTTGTTAACCCATGTCATAATTTTTATTACACATGCTCTAGATCTATTTCCGATACAAAACGTTATTTAACCCTCGCGTAACTGAAAGTTATTTTGACCTATAATAGAATTTGCATTATGTGCAAAGTAAGGAATTCTATCTCAAATTTTATACGTAATATTCGTTTCAATTACATGTGTACGTATATATGAATAAATTAATAAATAAAATCATGTTATTGTTTTATATACTATATATAATATACTATACATTAGTGTATTCATACAAAATAATTTAATTAATACAAAAGTATTTATATAAAATCGATATATTTGCAATAAAAATGAACATCTCAATTGTATGTTATTAGATTTCAATGAAATGTGTACTTATCATTATTATCACATATACCCCTAATATTATACACTATGAAATTTCAAAATACCTACTTTTCCGCGATTATGATATTTCCATTATAGACACATCGATTTTAAATGCTTTTTAGAATACAAAAAGATTGATAGCGTCTTAAAAAGATTTAAAAGGTTGTGCCGAGCATATCGATGCATGTGCAACTTATTCATTATGTTAAACAATTATGTTGAAGAGAATAAATACAA